GGCCCCATTTCATACTAAAATGTCTTTTATAAATATGCCCATACAGCGTTCCCTATCAACATAAATAAATTGTCTTCTAGTCAATTTATGTGTAGAAGCAAAATTCATGGCAAAGTGCATCTTTACCAAGCACTATCGCACTAGCTTCATATTTACACGTCGCATCCTCGCGAGCGTTACTTATGACGCTTTTGCACCTTCCCACTTAGAAATAAGAATGGCTACCATAAGCTGCAACTTATGTTACATATACTTCAGTGCCCCAGACGTTAAGTGTATCATATTTTAGACTATAAACTATTCCGAGTGTTTTATATTGACTTTATTTTATTTTACTTTTCGAACTGTTTCTTAAAGTAATATTGTGTTTGCTTTCCTTTCATAGTATTATAATTTTGTTAAGTCTATGAAAGAAATTTTGAATCATTTTTTAATACTAAGATCCCTGAAACGCTTGAATAAAACATTGTTAATAATGTTATGGATATTTTATCTAACTAAAGGCTGTTTTTTCAATGGTTAGATGAAAGTTATCTGGGGAATTATTATGATGCTATCGCGTCAGAATGTTTGTATAAGACAGTGACAGCAACAATTTTGTTCCTCAGATAACATTTATCTGAGTAGTGAAAAATCAGCCCTAACTTCAGAAAAAAGATAACGGTGTTACCTCTCAAATAAATTGTCCGCTTGCCGTAAATACGTTGCCCTGAGGTACACCATACACACTCATACCTATTTACCCCAAGACCAAGCCAGCTACCAAATCAGGAATGTAAACAAAACAGTTTTTACCACCATTCAATGGTTGTTATGACGTAATGAATTAAAAATGGTGAATGTTTTATTACTAGGTATTAATTGTGAATGATTCCAAGCGACCTGATCACGCGATTCTTGTTGACTTGCGTGAAATAAGTGCGTTTTTACGCATGTCACATTTTTACAGCGTTATTAAATTTGCGGTGTGAAGACTTTATTGTTCATTATGGTAGTGCTTCTGTGCACATATAAAATGATGGTGATGCTAATTAAAACGACTGACACTTATCCTCGATTGGAATATAAGTATGAATAAGTAATTTTATTCGCTTTTTGCTTATATGATAAAATGTTTTTCAAATTTCATAATGGGTTTTTTGAATTACGAATTCCTTTTCATTGCATCGTACAAATAAAATGGTACCTAATACATGCTTTGTATTCATTTCTCGACACTGAATAATGAATGCTCTCATTATTTCGATTCGCTAATCACAAAGAAAGACAAATTGAATGCTATAGAATTCAGAACACAAAGTAAAATAAGTCTCAAAGCAGAGAAATCTTTTTAATCTAGTATCCGTACAATATTCGCCATCAATTCTCGTATCAAAACTGAAAATAAAATAGCAAACAAAAATCCGTTCAACAATAGAAAAATTGATAAGCAACAAGAAATGGCTTTCGTAAAATTTGTAGGAAAATAATAAAGAGACATGACAGGCTAAGTCTAAACCCATAGGCTTATTCATGGTCGGGAGGGCATTCTATCAAATGTCAGGCGACGACCTTTTTGGAATTGTTTTCATCGTGGCCATCGTCCCGTGAAATCAACGGTATCTTTAGGTACAATATAAACATCCTTTACTAGTAAGCTCTATCTTTACAATATTGCATTTGCTATATTCTATTTGGAAGTGAACGTCCGGTATGTTAAAAGATGACATTTGATACGGCTCTTATATGGCTAGGGATTAGTCTTTAGTATTCAGAACTAGAAGATTGTATTGCATTTTGCTATCTAAAGTTGATGTTTGGTGCAGTAGAACGGAAAGCGATCGTAGAATTACAAATATGATTTTGAATGAAATATTTATCGGTGTTCGTGTTTTTAATAGTTAGCGAATACAGCTAATTAAACACAAAGTTCGACAAAGTAGCCAGCGGATTACCAGGTGACAAACAATCAGTGCCGCCTATAGACACTCATTATACCAAAGGAGTGGTCACAAATACGTTGTCAGCCTCCTGTGCGTGATAAGCGATTTAAGGATTTGAGATTTGAGAATGAGGAGTAGGATTGAACTTTATATTCGCTAACCTAACCTATTTGGGATTTAAATTTGAAAAGCTTTCATTCTGGCAAGGTCACAGTCAAATACATAAAATAAACTTAAGCTCATTGTCATTTAGGACATAATTTTGGGAAGTCCACGATTAAATTAAATTTTATTCGCTTTCTTGCGTACATGTTACTGTAATGTTCGAGTTTGGTCGAATAGCTCGATTACCATTCTGTAGTACACAAGTATCAATTAGAATAAGTTTCGTGTCCCTATTCACTGAATCGTCAAGGGACCGGAAAACGTTTAGGAAACTTGGCGAAGTTTGACGATCGTTTTCGAAATAGTCACGTAAACGACAACGCCCAAAGGTTGCCTCAAATTTAGAAAATTTATTCAGTTTCCTATAGGACCACCTTAAACTTGGACAAAACTTCTAATTTGTACGTTTAATCACTATTTTTGTTTGTAGCTTATGCGGTATGGGTGTATTGTTACAGGTGCACTGGTCGCAATAACTGAATCAAATAATTTCTGCAACTTGTTTGAAACCAAATTATAATACCTTATTTTTGCTTGTTTTATTATAAATTGGGCTTGGGGAAGTACTTTACATCACACCACACCACAATTTTTTAACGCCATCCCCATTTCGAAATCTAGTAATCTCTCTCACAGCAAAACAGCGAAAGCACTGATAGCAAACAACAACAAAAGACCCGCGTGAAACAATCACTTTTCTGTGAGGCTTTGTTACTGCAATCGAGTTGTGGCCTTCCCAAACTACACAAACGCATTACCTTGAATTATTTAAGAACACACATCTCAAAATAAAATTCGTAACCCCAAAAACACTCCGACACCTGCATTCGAGCCTCCATCAATCAATTTCGCCTGACACGCTTTTTCAATCCCACATCAGCTTCGGGTTTTCTAACTTCCCAATGGAAAACAAAACGTAAACATTCACTTAAAATGCTTTTTGGAAATAAAATAACATGAATTTTCATGTTACAACGTTATTAGCATTATCTATAAAAGTATTTTAATCGTCACATAACATAGGACACGCGTTAGTTTTTTTTTCTATTTAATTACTACTGCCTACCGCGGTTCTGCCCACCTGCTGTGTGCTTAAATGTCGTCGTATAGTGCTAGATAACTTTTGAACTATTTATGAAAGGATTATCAGATGTAAAACAATTCATAGCTTGACATTCTTCATCCATGAAATAGTATCGCAAGGCGTTGTTAAAGTTTGTATAGGACAAGAAGTAAAATGTACCCAAAGTAATGATTATTTTGTACAGTCTACTTAAGTGGTACAGTTGTCCATCCATCAATAATAAATATAACGATCATAAAATTACATATAATCATATTATGCTAATGTTACTATTGAAAATTGAAGCTCTACTAGTTTCAAGTCAACACAACTCTTATTCACGAGCTGTGTGCGCGTCGTTGCGGCGTTTTACAGCCGACTGTAGAGTTGTCGTGATAAAGTTGTTATTTTTAATAAATTTAGTATATCTCACGATGGTCATTTTACGCTATTCAAGAATACTTAACGCAGGGGTGATTCTAACTTGGTAAATTGCATGCTATATTTCCAGCAAAAAAGTTAAAAATTAATAAATTCTAATTGTTACGAAGGGAACAACTAACTCCATTAATTCCCAAATTTCCTTGACGTGCACTCTATCAAGCTAAAGTACTAGGTGGGCATAAGTCGGCAGGAGGCAAACGCAAGAGTTATCTAAACAATCCGGCAGAAGAATGTTAATAGTTAGGAACAATAAAGTATTGGACGTCACGCGACCGCATCACGCTAGGGAGAACTATGCGGGGGTCGTACAGGCCTACAGTTTTTCTGGAAGCCCGGTATTAACATGATTGGACTGCTTCTTTTTAATTTGAATTAAATTTTCTAGGAATATTTTACATTGAAATACTCGAACCAGCATTGTGACAGTAATTGTTCTGTACCTAAGCATTTCTTTCGACATCATAATATTGTTCATATCTAAAAACTAGTTTCTAGTGGATAACTCCACGAACACGAATACGCGACCTACATATTTTATCATCAATATTGAAGAAAATATATTCATTTTTCCGATACCTAAACATGGAGAATTTTCAATTTTAAGCCTCTGTGAGACGGGTGTTACGCCGATGGCATTAAAATAAAATACGAGCGGTGTCGTCCGACGACACGTAAGCGCCATCCATCACCGGTTGGTGTGCAACCCCCTTTACAGGCCTGTGTAGACGTGCGACAAAAGTCAAGGAATTTGAGCTTTTATTTTTAAAATTAGGGTGACATCGATCAAGAAATGACAGCGAATTTATAATGTTTAAAAATTGAATATCGAATTACTTAATGATTTTGTTTCTAAACTTAATAATATAGCTTTTTTATATTTAGGCCAGGAAGGTTTTAATTTAAATTTATTTGTGTATGATTTTATTTTATTTTTTTTTTGTCGCTCAATCAAATTAATAGCCTCAGCGTCAATGCTGTAAAGATCTGTTTATACAACACTGAAGCAATCTACAATTGCAAAAATATTCAGCTCATCAAAATTCGCTGTTGGGCCACGTCTACCCCCATCAAACCTACTTTCAAATATTCACAAAATCGTCTGTCTGCCCGTCGCTATGCATCACAGTCGGTCCGCATAGCACCATTGACGGCAGAGCGAATTTTTGAAAAATGTAAAAAGGTCATTTCGGAGGTCACGTACAACGCATTTATTTCGCTTCGACTTCATGCCGGCTTCAAACGCGAAACGGACATAACAAATGGTTTTTGCTTATTTTTCAATTATTCGATCGGAATGTATGAAATATGATAGGTAGGTACATGCGGACCGGAAGGTGGGTCTTTCAACATTAATTTTTCTGTCGGAAATGGCAGCGGAAGTGAACGGGATTCAATAATGTACAGCAATGTTCTGTTTGTTGGGGTAAACACTTAGCTATGTTCCATCGATTATGTAGCGGGACCTTCTGTTAGTACACTTGCTACCTACATTTTTATCTTGGGAGAAAAGAGAGGTCAACGAACCTTAAAGACAACCCACATTATGTATATTATTCATTACGATTTTGTTATTAGATTTCCTAAATGTTTCTTGCTTCTACTAGTTGTATTCGCATTTTGTAACTGTTATTTATTTTCTGGTGTACATTTCATAACTTTATCGAACTATTTAATATTTGGACTAAGCTCAAAAATACCTCAATAAAACGAAATTGCTGTATTGAATATTTCATTTATATCTCAAAAACATTTTCGATATTATATGAGGATCACTTGTAACCGACTGAATTCTTTGTCAACAGGACATCTACAGCAAAATGCAGTGGAGGCTCTCCACACCGCGAGAGGCGACGACGGGACGATGACGCGACTACTCCAGGCGGCTTCAGTGCTGCCTTACACAGGACACCTCCTCCACCACCACCAGCGTTACTGCGCAGACTTGGAGTCAAGGAACCTACAGGAGTTGGGAAGGTTAGTGTGACTTCACATTTCTTTGAATTCATTTGTTTTTGACGAGTGAAAATATCAAATGTCGGTTTGGGTGGCGTCAGAGGGAGCGTTAGACTCTTTATACTAAAAACCACCCTGATCTTAGCTGCGGCCAGGTTACTTCATTGCATTTGCACCTGTAACCGAAATATAAAACGGTTTCATCAGACGTACGATATTCAGATATGCATATTTTTAGCAGCCAATGAAAATAACTCAGTCAGTGTTTTAAAGAACTAAAATACCGATTTCAATAAAACTAATCTTTTGAAATCGGCATAGCATTCTAAAATTCATCTGAAGAATTACGTAACAATTAAATCGACTCTCTCGCCACGTTCCAAATGTCTGACTGAATAAATCATACTGATGCATTACATTAACAACTCAAACTTCAATCAATTTAACAATGTACTCAGATCATCGATCACAGTCGGAAATAATTTCAAAGATGTTTTTAAAGTCAGTCAGTTTCAAACTCCAAAGAAACTAAACGGACAACCACTTAGATTCGCGAAAATGTTTATCACAGCAAAAGTCTAAATAACTTTAGTCCATTACTCGACTCTGTTACATTGCGATACAAATTCCATGTTCCAGTTTGTTTGGATGTCCTAATTTTATTTAACTATATTACCTATAGACTTTTATAGTTTGGAATTAGAACAACACACAAGAATCGTTGCATTTCACCATAATTTTTTGCGAAGGGAAAATCACCAAATGGCTTCTCCCGCCCAGAGTCGAGCTGGAGGAAGTGTCAGACACTTATTGACTAAAGCTCAGTTCCTTCTTCTGCTCTGGGCCGAGGCCACGATTGCGGGCAAACGCAATGCGTTACGAATACGGGCTAAATGTCTAGTTTTGCTAATCTCAGTGTTATGACTTCTAGAAACTTCTTTATATAAGGCTGGATTTAAATATGTCATTATCTCAGTAATTTTAAACAGAAATAAAAATCACGTAACATTTTAATGTAGGTAGGCACAGTTTTCGAAAAAAAACCTCATAATGTTACCAAGAAAAAAGTTTGCAAAAACAAACTTCACATTTAACAAGAAAGTAACAGTACTGAGTCACGCCGCAATGATTTAAGAGGGGCTGCAGTACTTTAATTGGTTGAACCTAATGAGACAACTGATGATCTTGCTAATGAGGCCCTTAACGATGCCGTACCTAATTAATATCGCTTTGTTCGTATCAAGAAGCATAAAGAGAACGCTAAGTACCAAAGATTTATGTCTTAAATGAATAAAGAACGAAACAGATTAAGGCAATGTTGAACACGAGTGAATTGTGGAAGGAGTTTCGTTTAGTTCTGGGAAAAGTCTTTGTTGCAATACTTAGCCAATATGGAGCACGAATGGTGCCTCGTTAGTTGGATGTGTTATTCGGTTAAATTTTAAGAAGTGTCAGGTCTGTAACTTGTTAATCTTGGTAATTTGAGACGTAATAGAATAACAACAGTGCGTTCGTTTGGGGTTTGGTGAATTAAAATTGTGTGTCATTGCTTAGCATGAGTTTCTTTGATTCTTTGATCAGTTTTTATGATTTAAATACTGTTGTAACACAAAAGTCCTCATTTTTGAATTGTTACGACATACTGGCGTTTACAAACTACCGACCATGTCAGTCGACGACGCCGCTTCTTACGAATCCTCTTTTTTTTTAAACTAGTAGAGTTTTTCTCAGTTAATAAACGTGAGTACGTTTATTTTAAATAAAGTCCTCGTTTTCTAAACTTTAGCGTATCTGGCAAGGAAAACTCAATATAATTTTACTTGTATGCTTTTAGAAATATGTAAAAAATCCATTAACCCATTTTTGCAGCCTCCTAAAGATCTCCAAGTTGAATTTTTTTTATATTGCCTCTGTTATGATAGAAACGCTCATTATCCAAGCCTTGGGTAGATAACGTGAAACTCGATTTATGTCACATTAATGTGTGTTCTTAAATACCCCGTAATATATATTCTTAACCGAGGATTAAGCTTTATAAAACCCATTATGGTTGAAACCATCGTTGTCTTGTGGGATTAATGATATTGTTACGAGCCTGACGTCACGTTCCTGACTATGCGGGCTTGGGTTACGGGATTGGATGAAATAAAACACTAATACCGGTTTTAGACTTTCTATTGCACTTAGATGACAGCGCCCTCGGAGTTAAGTTATCGGCGTTCCTCTCCAGCAGAGTCCGGGCGACTGACACAAACTTCCGTTTGCCGCTCACTGTTCACGCTGACTTTCACTTAACTCACTGCACTGCACTATTTCGCTCACTTTTCTTCTTTTTCACTTCTTCCTTTTCTTCCGAATCGCTTTGGACTTAGAACTCAACTGCCAGCGGTGAGCCGCAGTTCCGCTTATATACCCCCGGTCAGGTTCTGGAACATTCAATTTCGTTATTCTTTTTGATCGTCATGCCTCCAGAACCTTCCAATAATTTCGTTATTCATTTTTATTTATTCTCCTTCTCGCTCTTTAATTTTTCATCTCTTTCACACAAATAATTCCAGAAAGTTCCACAAAACTTCTATCAACTAAAAAACTTCATGTTTACGGCGGGACTCGAACTCGGGGTCTCTGTGGTGTAATCCACATGCCTTACCGATTACACCAACTCGTGTTGACAATTCACGACGAAATTTACAATCTCTAGGCAACGTTTGACAACCATCCATTGACGTCATGATGTCAAAGAGTTTGAACCACTTTTCCGTCACAATATGTTTTCCTACTCTTTTTCTTGAAATATTGCCGAGTCGTATTAAAGATGTCGAATGTACTCACAAAGAATTTGATTCTTTATTATTATACTAGATTGATCACTGACTATGTATATATACGTTATGATCAAAAAGGATTTTAGTCATCGTTAGTCAATCGAAATTTAAAATTCAATTACTAAATAACAAGTTCTTTTTCATTAAAAAGATCCGAATTAGCATCAACTATATACATAAAATAAATAATATAATTCTACTAAATAAACATTGAACGCCTTTTATTTAGTTAACCGTTCAATACCAGTGCCGGTCTAAAAGACCAATGGTCGATTGAAACTCGGAACGTGCCCGACGGACAAACCGCTAATGTCATAAGACAGTCGGCTAACGAGGCGCACTGCGGGAATCGAAACTGGAATCCCCAGCGTACCAGGCTACACGTAGGATCGTACGATGATAGGTATTCCAGAATATTCCAGTATAATCCAGAATAATCCAGAATGTTCTAGTGCGTAGATTTTGTATGAGACACTTTGAATGTTCTACGTGCCCCGTTTTGGGTTGATGATACAATGTCGGTTGACTTGGGTAAATGTGTGATGACTTTTATGTGTCCGTTCTTGGTTCAATAACCCTTGAAAAAGAGAAATAATTTGATAAGGTTCAAAATGAGTTTTTTATTAATTCCAAATTGGCGGTCGTTTTTTTACATGTAGGGAAAATTTACGAATTAAAAACAGTTTAACATTACTCTCTTCAAAGTGAATAGATCATTTTACACCTACCAAATTTCATAATAAATTCTAAAACAAACAACCTACAAACAAAACTATATTATTATTCTCCGTTAATATGATCAAATTTTAATGAATTAATGTTAATGCTACGATGCCTGCACGAGTGCGGGTGTTTAATACCATGCCACTTTATATAGTTATTTACGTCTGCCGCCAATTACTGCGGCGACGGGAGGGTTAATGTGATAAGTGACGCGCTAACAAGATGCAGGTGAAAGAATCGCGTCAAAGGATTTACTAGAGAAACTTGAAGAAATAATTTAACCTTAATTTTATTAGGGTAGAGTTATTTTCGTATGGTAATATTTAGAGCTGCCGTTGTGGTTGAATGTTTGCAACTGAATATCATGAAATCTCAGATTGTGCCCAATGCAAAAAAAAACCGTGAAAAAGTCATTTGATGATTTTTCCCAAACAAAAAAATATATGGCATCCAAACCTGTCCAACAAATAAAATTGTAGGTTCTACATTTAAAGTGCAAAACTCTAGCGACCGCTAATATCACACAAAAAATCAGTATCACATATTTATCACTAATAGTAACAACATTATCTGTCATGTTGACACTGTCAGCTGTCAAATATTACAGATAAAAATACTCTCAATTTAGGATGTGAGACCGGCTATTTAAATACTGAATTTGAATAGAATAGTGATAGGAATGAATTCGTAAAATAAAGAAATAAAAACATATTTATACAACATTTTACAATTAAAAAGGCAGTAAATCATTAATAAAAAGTAAACAAGCGTGATTTTTTTCTAAAAATAAGTATTTAAAGACGTTATATAAAGTTTACCGACACAAAACAAACGCGCCCAAATATAGATCCTATTATTAGTACTGGCCATAAACATTTGAATAATGGTCGCAATAGTAGTTTCATTTTATGCGCAATAGGCTAGATAATAATTATAATTAGGTTAACAAGATAATAGTCATTTGTTTGATGGTTACCAATACAACAGAATGCTTCATTGTTCGAACCGTCTGACGAACTTTAAGGTTCAATTCTATCATGCATATGTTGAATGCGAAGAAGATAAGTGTAATAACATATTTTATTATTGCTTGGCATTGTATAGAGATGGAAATGGTAAATAATAGCGTCAATGGCAAAAATCTAGTAGAATGTAGTGTCCACCAAAACTACATGGATACTTCAGAGCACATTTTCCACATGACAGGCCACGGATTAGTATGAAAAAAGTGAGTAAAAAAGTGGCTTTTTGTTAAGAATGGCTTAGAAATGTATGGGCACGAAATATGTGACTCAGATTCTTCCTGACTAAAAACTCCTTGTTCCTTCTTCTGCTATAGACCGAGGCCGCTTATTGCGCTTAGCTCGCGACCATGGCTAAGCATTGGCTATATTGGGCCCCGGTTGTGGTAGTCTACAGGCTCTTTTTTGTTTTTTGACTTTTTTGACTTTGAGGCGGAACGTTACGCGACGCACACTCGGGTCGGGTTCTATTCGAACGGCGAGCTGCCTGTACCTAGCACTACGTTTGTAACAGTATTTGTTCACCACAAATTATATTGACACAGTACGTTTAATTAATTGATGGATGTAATATTTACATTAATCATGTCTGTTTTAATTAATATCCTAAAAAACATCAGATTTTAATTACATATTCATTATGAAATTGGTTTGATGTTATGATGGTATTGTATAATTATTGTTTTATAGATATGTCTGTATGTTGTAACATAAATCCGCTAATGATGTCGATAAATAATCGCTACTTTCAATAAGCAAACGTAAAAAAATAAAAAATTACTTACTACATTATTTTCTATTGTCACCAATCGACTCTAGACTTAAACTTCAACAGTTTGACCTTTCAATCGTGGTAATTCGAGACATAATAGAAAAACGACAGGAGCGCGAACGCCGGCGTTCGTTTGTAGTTTGATAAATTCAGTCTAAGTAGAATCGTTTTGGAAGTCATATTCAGAGGTAAGATAACAAAGAACTGAACTAAACTGACTGGAGAAAAGATACATAATATATATTGTCTGTCATCCGCATCAACATCCCAGCATAAAATTCACAACAGATTAAACACTTATCCAGAAGGTCACAATAAATTGAATAAAACGTTTCATTAGCACATTAATTACATGACAGACCAACACAAACCAGAATTAAACTATAAAAATACCATTCCTAGTTCGAAATCCTAAAAATGTACATACAAAGCCACTTTTCCTTGAATCGTACGAACTTGTACACTAGAACGACACAAAAACAGTTCGTGTTGGTGTAAGTCGGGTGAAATTTGCAATTCAAGGAGCTACGTAAGCTGAATGGAGTGGAATGTACCCCCACCCCTTGTGGGGGGTACAAAAAG